ACTCATATTCATCTTTTCTTCCAATGAAACACACCCGAGGTCTCTGTATTTTGCTAACGCATCTGAGCATAATATTCCATCATTCCATGTGTGAGTAATACTGTGATATCCCTCGGTCTTCACTGACTTCCTTTTCTGTTTTCTCCCTTTTTCCTACTTTTGCCAAACTGTATGATATTTTAACCTCTGCGACTTTTTCTCTCCTTTGCAGCTTTATGTGAGCTCAGGATTTAATGAGCTTATTTTCTGCTTTAACCTCAAAACGACTACAAAATTTTAAAGTGTGCAATTGTGTTTTCCCAATTTGGCTTGAGACCACATCTCTTAAGATGTTGTAACCCAGCCTGTTCCCATGCTCCCTCAGGGTGGCAGAGAACAAGCTTCTCAGTCCCTTCCCAGGTCTCCCTTCTTCCCCCTGGGGTTTCCAGGAACAGAACTGTAACCATTGTTACCCTAACTGTGACTGTTGCTATCTGAACTGTAACCATTGCTACCATAACCACTGCCACCCAAGCTGTAACCATTGATACCTAAACTGTAAACCCAAACTGTAACCCTGCCGACAGTGCCCCGCCAATGGTAACATTCCTTGTACACAAAAAAGGGTATAAAAGACAAAAAACCCTGCACTTCAGGGCCACTTGTCTTAGGACAATGGCCCCCTGCACAGGTGAAAATAAATCACCAATAATTTACATCAGTGTGGATCCAAGTCCATTTTTTCCAAGCCCTTTAAGTTATTTCAAAGATTGTTATTTTTAAGCCACTGTGTATTTTAATATTAATATCAACTTCATTTTTCTTTCTCTATTTGGGGCAGCTATGGAAACTCTATCAAGCTTTATTTATTTCATGATTTTGTCTCCAGTTAACAGATAGAAAAAAAAAAAAAACTACATTGCTCCTTTTTTTCTTTATTTTCTTTCTGATTATTTGTCAAAAAAGGTTAAAAAATTAGTTTAGCAGTTTATCTCATGCTGAAACTCAATTTCTTGACTTCAGATTTATACCTGTTTTAAATAAAAGTATTCTTCCTTTCCTTGCCGATGGTTCCAACTGTGACATGCACAATTCACTGTAAACATTTCAAAAGCTGTGTGGTAATGAATTATGCTGTATGTTGTTTATTATTCAACTCTTGGTGTTCGGTGCAGGTGGACCCAGCCCTCCTTGGGTAGGGAGAGCAGACCAAGCTCCCAGTCAGCTCAGATTAGAACTTTCTGCTGTCTGCACTTCTTCATTTTCCCTGAAAAGAAGCTACCTTGTGGGTAGTGCATGATGCAGCACTGATTGGCAGTTTAAGTTAGTAGAATAGGCCTGGCACAGTGGCTCACACCTTTAGGAGTCAGAGACAGGAGGATCACTTGAGCCCAGGAGGTCGAGAACAGTCTGAGCAAGAGCAAGACCCCATCTCTATAAAAAAAATTAAAAATTAGCTGGGCTTGGCAATAGGAGACTGTATTCCTAGATACTTGGGAGGCTGAGGCAAGAGGATCGCTTGAGTCTGGGAGGTGGAGGTTGCAGCGAGCTGTGGTGACACCACTGCCTCTAGCTGGGCACCACAGCAAGCAAGGCCCAAAGTCGGATAAAACAGCAGGCGTTGTGCCTTTACAGGACCCTCTCAAATGCACGGCCAAGCCACAAATTAGTGCCTTTGCCCCTAACTCAGATTCTTTCCTACACAGCCTCACCATTGCAGTGTAGCAACAAACAAACCAAAACCCAAACAAAACAAAAAACCCACCCAAACTCCTTGGATCTTTTGCTAACATGGAGCTCGCTGGACCATGTCGTCTGCTGTCTCTAACTGCTGCTAATTTTATTTGCATGTTTTTTTTATAATGTTAACACCATGAGAAGGGTCTCCTATCAATCAGGGGAGCTCTTGCCCTGTTTCAGCATTTTTTGAACCCTGTGTCCGCTTGGTTAAGATTCCACTGTATTTTTGGCTCATTTCTCCTGTGTTGAGTGTGCAAAGCCTTCTGCACTTCTGCCTACTTGTCCTCCTTTTTTAAAAAATTAAATCATAACTGTGTACATTGATGCATTTATGGGATTCGGTGTATGGATTTGATATACAATGTGAAATGCATACATTGAACTGATTAACACATCCATCACAATTACACTCTTAATAGTTTTGAAATGGACCATTATATCATACACATTAGGTGAAGTCTCCCCAAATACCCTCCCTCCTCTGGCCTCTCTCTGCTGCTCCCATCACTCTCCTCTCCTCTTCCCTTCTCCTTTCTGGACTATAGTTATGTTTTACCATTCATATGAATGTGTAGGTGATTATATGTTGATTTCATGGTAGTATTGAGTACATTGGATACTTTATTTTTCCATTCTTGAGATACTTTACTAAGAAGAGTATGTTCTAGCTCCATCCCGGTAAACATAAAAGATGTGAAGTCTCCATCTTTTTAAAGGCTGCATAGTATTCCATGGTGTACATATACCACAATTTGTTAATCCATTCATGGGTCAATGGGCACTTGGGCTGTTTCCTTGTCTTGACTATTATGAATTGGGCTGCAATAAACATTCTGGTGCAAATGTCTTTGTTGTAAAATAATTTTTGATCATCTGGGTATATACCTAGTAGAGGAACTGCAGGATTGAACAGTAGGTCTACTTTTAGTTCCTTGAGTGTTCTCCAAACTTCTTTCCAAAAAGGTCATATTATCTCGCATTCCCACCAGCAGTGTAGAAGTGTTCCCTTCTCTCCTCATCCACACCAACATCCTCTGCTTTATTTGTGTCTCCTGTCTCTCTCAAGAAGGTCTAACAGACTGATTTAATTTCTCTTGGACTTACCTTATTTTATTTGAATAACTAACTTTGATTTCCATCTTGTTGATCCGTAGATTTCTCCCCTGAACTTTTCCCTGATCAGTCTTTTCTATTCAGCATTTCTCTACCTTTTATGTCTAATGTTTAGTCTCTGCATAGCAAGAAGAGTATCTGTAATTCTTCCCTGTCGATCTTTATCTCATTTGCCATTTATGTTATTTTGTTATAACTTTGAACTAATAGCATGGCTCTGATCCAGGCCTTGTTCTAAATGCCATATGTATATAAGATTCTGTTGACTCCATCTGTATATATATTGCTCTCACAACATTGCTTCTCCCCAGGTACCATCATTATGTCCATTTTACAGATGTGGACGTTGGCATACAGAGAGGTTAAGGAACTTGGGAAAAACTTGCTGGGATCCAAACCTCTGCACGTTGGCTTGAGTCCATGCGTTTTACCATCGCACAATACAGCAGAATAATAGTGATACCCCTTATGATGGTGTTTCCCCGTTAAGCTCTGTAAATACCAGATCTACCAATCAATCCCTCTTTGGGGAGGAGGGCAGTCTATCGGGCACCTAGTTGCTGAGTTCTACATTTCTCTGAGCTGCTGTAGATATTTGGCCTGTGGTTTTGTGTTCTGTGTGTCTTCCTGTTCTTTCTTAGCTACTTACTAGTTTGTTTTCCTCTGTCGTTTAACTTACCGTGTCACTTTGTTTAAATTCAATTACCCAAAGCTAGAAGACATAGCTCCTTATTTCCATTCGCCTTCAGTGTAATTTGGGGATATTAATAAGAAGGTTCTAACCAACGAGCTACAAGGAGTTTCAGGGCCCAGGGACGGGGGAAACCCTCTGGGACTTACAAATTTTCTTTTTTGGGTGGGGGGGAGGAGGGGTTTGCAAATTTTCAAACCACAGGTTGTTGAGAACAGGCCCCGGCTCAGAGCCGTGCTGTGCAGGCACCTGTTACTATTTCACGGTCTAAGTCACCAGTCTCTCTTCGTGACGTTCACTGATCCCGCTGCGGACGCATCACACTATTTGACTTGTGCTGAATTCCCAGCGTTTCCTTCATGAGGGGCAGTTGATTTCCCACTAAATAGCACCCAGGCTGGAGCTTTCCTCTTCGCCTGTCTCTGACCTGAACGGAAGGGTTTCCGTGTTACCATTTTCAGATACAGCTTGTGCTCCTTGCAGAATAATCTGTTGGTCACTGTCATCACTCCCACTTGAAACAGAGATGGAAGAGAGTCTTCCCTTCACCCAGTGCTGAATCACGGGAGACCTAGGTTCTATTCAAACCCATAGAGTTGAGGGATGATTTTGATTTTGTTTCATTTTTGCAAGACAATTGTGGCCGCAGTAAGAAAGCAAGACGCTGGGGGTCTGGTATAGCAGGTTTTGTACGTTGTTTTGCACTATTTATTTTTGCACTGTACATTGCTCTCATTTTGCAAACTAAGGAATATTGTCTACTTTAAGCCTCAAGGAGAATGTCATGTCTCCATCCATTGGGATGCCTTGTTGCAGGATTATACCTTCAGTGCCAAGAAGCCTCATAACTAACCCTAACTTCCCTGTCCCCTCCCCTACTTGCTCTGTACATTAGGCGACCAGGTATGCCCTGCATTCAAGACTCTCCCCATGCATGTGCCGCCTGCCCCTCATGGAAAGTCTGGAAATGGTCACTGAATGTGTTCTCCAAAGCCCCACCTAGCTGGTGCTCTCTTTTCTATCCGCTGCAGGTGGAATTACCTGCTTCCTGAGCCAAACACTACCAGGGGTCCTGAACTTTTTAAACAGGGGTCCGGTTCACTGTTCCTCAGACCGTTGGAGGGCTGGACTGCGGGCCCCAGGATGAGTCGTCTGCTAAACAGGACAGGCAGCGGCGGCAAAAACACCTTGCGGGCTGGATCCATGTCCTTGCTGGGCTGCATGTGGCCTGTGGGTCGTAGTTTGAGGACGCCTGGTGATTGTTTGCCTTTTCTGCTCTGAACTGTGATTCTGCCACCTTTGGGTTATCCGTCCCCTCTCCCACACACCACCTGTCACCTATCACAGTGCCTTGTGACAGCCACATCGAGCACAAAATAATTACATGTTGAGATGAATGAGCAACACATGGAGAAAAAGAAAGACCCTGGTCATTGTAGGATGATTATATTTTTTCCCTTCTTTGTTTTACCTTTAGGTATTCTTGAAGTTCTACACTGTGTGTTAGTTGAAAGTCCCGAAGCTCTTAATATTATTAAAGAAGGGCATATTAAATCCATTATCTCACTTTTAGACAAGCATGGAAGAAACCACAAGGCAAGTAGACCATTTTATTTTCATGAACGAATCCTGGAATCATGGAAAAATGTATTTTTAAAATCAGATGACTTTTAAAAAGTGTAGCAGATTTTTCATTTGTATCTTTCATCTCTTAATGACAGTCAATAAAACTGTTTAGTATTTATTTGTAGTGTAAGGGAGAGCGTGAATGGCTCTCAATTATGGTATGAAGAAAAGTTGGGGCTGGGTGTGATGGCTCACGCCTGGAATCCTAGCACTCCAGGAGGCTGAGGCAAGTAGAATGCTTGAGCTTAGGAGTTTGAGAACAGCCTGAGCAAATGTGAGACCCCATCTCTATTAATAATAGAAAAACTAGCTGGGCATGGTGGTACATGCCTGTAGTCTCAGCTACATAAGAGGATTGTTAAACTCCGGAGTTTGAGGTAGCTGTCAGCTGTGATGATGCCATGGCACTCTGCCCAGGGTGACAGAGCAAGACTGTATCAAACAAAAAAAAAAAAAAAAGAAAGCAAATAAAAGTGGCAAATCAGTGGAAAACATAATATAATGTTTATATGACTGAGTGAAATGTACCTGGAGGGAATGTGTTTATTTTATGAAAAATGTTGATTCTGGAACAGGAATTTGAATACAGTAATTTCTCTTTTCAGGTTCTGGACGTCTTGTGCTCACTCTGCGTCTGCCATGGGGTGGCCGTGCGCTCTAACCAGCACCTCATCTGTGACAATCTCTTACCAGGAAGAGATCTGCTACTGCAGACCCGTCTTGTGAACCACGTCAGCAGGTGAATTCAGAGAGTCGAGGCCACCAGACAGGCAACACAGCAGAAGGACTCACATTCTCATCCTGTAGCCACAATGCTGGATAGCCGGTTCCCTACTAGGATCGTTCACGAATTTCCCCAGTGAATAACACAAGTCTTTTCTACCAGTCGGAAGGGATGCCGATTCATGAACCAAGGAGAATAATGGTCTTTCCATAAGCACCTGTGTGGGAGATTCTGTTCCCGTTCACATGCAGATGGCTTAGGACATCCGGAGGAGCTGGCTGACAGTTACATAGAGATGGGGTGATAGAGAATTATGTTCTGTACCTTCTTAGAAAAGAACTAAAAATACTATCCTTCAGTACTATTTAGAGTCACTATGTATAATCACAAAGTAGAATGTCCAAAATACAATAAATTCCACAAATAACTAATAAAATCTTATCTTTAGTTAGATCTCTCTTGCAAGATACCTAGCATTTATTACTTGCCATAGGCCAGCTACTATTCTAGTGGCTTTACTTGTATAGTCTATTCCCAATGTTTGTAATTCCCTGGGTTCTACTATTATCCACATTATATAGATGTGAAAAAATGAGAACTAGAAATAAAACTTGGGTCTAACTCCAGAGACTGACTTTTTAACCACCATGCAACACTTCCTTTCTTACCCCCCCCCCAAATAAACCCATAAATAAATAATAAGAAATGCTGTTTATAATCAACATAATGCTGTGTGTGATCATAGTAATTTTGTCGCCCTCTACCTAGCAGCTGTCTGGAGATTTTCCTCGCTGTATCCCGTTTAAACAGAAATGGAGGGTGTGTTGTATATTTCTGTGTTGTGTTTTTTAAACAACATCAGTGGGAGACTTCGTCCCTGGTTGCTTGTGGGACAGACCTGCAGTTAATGAATTGTGTTTCCTGAGGTCTTCACGAATCCCTAGTAATCCCGTAGGGTATACTACTATATTTACGTCTCCTGCTAAATGGAATTGAACTTAATAAAAATGTGTCTGTTCATAAGGAGGCAGATGAACCACAAAACTGATTAGTTACCTTGGTTCCTTCAGAAACAGCATGATCTGCTTCAGCCTCATACCCCACATGACACAGGCTGGCTGGAGAACTAGATTTCCTTGTGCTTCTGAGGTTGTTTTAATAATTTTGTAGTATTTAAGGAAGCATAAGTGGCATCTTGGAGAAGCAGGACCAATGTTCAAAATAGTGAGATGTAATGAAAACAATGGGCAGTTTGCTGGTTTTTCTCATATGTTCTTCCTGTCTTTTTAAAGCATGAGACCCAATATTTTTCTGGGTGTCAGTGAGGGGTCTGCGCAGTATAAGAAGTGGTACTACGAGTTGATGGTGGACCACACGGAACCCTTTGTGACAGCCGAAGCAACTCACCTGAGAGTAGGCTGGGCTTCCACGGAAGGGTACTCTCCCTACCCTGGAGGGGGCGAAGAGTGGGGTGGAAATGGCGTTGGAGATGACCTCTTCTCCTACGGATTCGATGGCCTTCATCTCTGGTCAGGTGAGTACTATCCATTTCTTTCATCATAGAAGAAAATCTTTCATTCTTAGCGTGCATTTTTTTTTTTCTTGCAGTTTTTGGCCAGGGCTGGGTTTGAACCCACCACCTCCAGCATATGGGGCCAGTGCCCTACTCCTTTGAGCCACAGGCGCCGCCCTCATTAGAGCACATTTTTGAAAGCTGTTCATGTTGCTTCTGTGGGATACATTTACTATTTAGAAATTTAACATTGAGAGTGGCGAGTAACAGTGTTGAGTAAAAAGCAGAATTTCACTGGTGGAAAAGAAAATGCTTATAATTATAATGTATTTCCAAGGGACTGTGTTGCTGAACAATGTTGTATATTGAAACAGTGGAGTTCCAGGGCATGAATGGACTGTGAAATACCTGTATGTTTCCTACTTAATTTAATTGGTATGTGCAAAGCTTTAGCTTCCAATGTTAAAAGAGAAAGCCCAGAATGTAATTGGAAGAAATAGACTAGTTTTAACTTCCTACTAGAGAATGTAATGGCAGGAATTGGTAATTTGGATACGGTAGTGGTAAAGTGAGTTCTTAATCAAATGACCCCGTGTTTCAGAAGTTTAGAATGGTTCCAAGATGGAGGTGTAGCTCATTTCACCACCTCCCAACTCTCAGCTTTGATGATTGAGTATACATGAAAAATGAGTACTTTATATTAAAAATTGGTTTTCTCTGATTCGTGAAGAGATATCATTTAGTTGTTTCAATTAAAAAGTGTAGTTCTTGATCATGTATGTTTTTTAGGTATTTGAATTCATCTGAATTCTACGGATATATGCTTGTGTTAGTAAGACTACATTTAGAATCCAGTCCTGTTATGACCTGGACGTATTTTCTAAAGCATTTAACATATAAAAGGTACAGAATATAACCTTAAGTTACAAAACCTAAACTTTTACCTCATATGGATCCCAAGTGATAGTCAATATGAATGCTTTCTAGGCTTAGATAGCTTATGAAACAATTTAATAATGAAATCAAATGAAATCTAAGAGTTCGTGGTAATGAATATATAAATTAAAAGTACTTTATAAACAAGGTCTAACAATTAAGTTCATGAGCTCCTCCTAGGAAAACGTGCTACAAAACTCATTCCTGAATATCATTATGGTCCCCTTCGAAGTACTCCCCTCGGGAAGCTATGGACTGACATCAGTGCCTGGTCCACCTTTCAAAGTCATTTTGGAACTCTGGTTCTGGAACGGCCACCATAGTTGTCATTGTATCACCCTTGATGTCCTGAATGTTACCAAATGTCTTCCTTTCAACATTTCCTTTACCTTCGGGTAAAGAAAAGGGTCACTGGTGTCCAATCAGGTGAGTAGGGAGGGAGTTACAATACAGTTATTTGTTTACCGGCTAAAAAGTCCCTCCCAGACACTGATGTGTGAGCTGGTGCATTGTTGTGATGGAAGAGCCACGAGTTGTTGGTCAGGATTTTTCAGTTATGATTTTCCTGTTTCTCTATCAGTGTTTACTTGGTCTGCTATGCTTCTCACAGTCCTCAATGATTCTAATACACAATTTAATAGAAAACCTTTTAATCCATTTTTATACTGCCATTTTCTTCATGGCATTATCCCCATAATGTCCCTGATTTCACCTCCAGTCTTGGCAACGTTAGCAAGAAATTTACAAATGTTTGTTTCTCTGATTCAAGCTTTGATATTCTCTCAACAGCACACAAAAACTCAACAATCATGAATGCTGTTCAGTAAGACACTTTCACATGTAGACACTAAACACTAACGTGACTGAGAGACACTGATTGCTACACCAAGGTTAGGAGACCTTACCAAATTCTCTGTACAGTGCTGTCAGTGTAAGCACATGGTGGCAAGTCTACAAACTTAATTGTCAGACCTTATAGTTGTATCTGTCACACTGAAGTTTTCTCACATTCAGTGCCAGTAGCTCAGTTGTCTAAAAGAGATGAAGCTGTGTTTTGGATATTTCACTTCCCCACTGGGGCGTGTATTAATGGTTTGAGTCCTTGCAGTAGCATGTACTGCCTTGTACGCAGGTATGCTGTGGTGTTCAGGTTATAATCACAGTGCCTGCTCTACAGTAAAATTTCCCTATTGACCAACCACAGACATAGAGCACTAACTTCTGAAGGCCCATCAAATATGAAATGGGGCAAACATCTATTTTACAGTGCAATTGGGTGATGATCCTTTGGATATGACTATTCTTTCTCTGGCTCCTAGTATTGCTCTGCGGGAAATAGGGCTACTCAGTCGATTACATGAAACTTACTAACTTACTTTCCCATTACACAGAGCTTAGGGGAGAAACGTTACTCAAATAGGACAATGTTTTTTTGTCATAACACATTTTACCTTTTTTTGTGTTTCTATTCAATTTGAAGCTTTTTCTTTCAACCCATTAAAAGTAACTAGTGGTTACAGAATTGAGTGCATTGTATCTTCTATAACAAAGTATTAAATAGAACGATAAGAACAAAACAAATTTTAGTGACTGGATGTGTCACAGAAGGGACAGTAGGTTGTGGAATTTCAGGAGAAAATCATCTTGAAATGTTATCCATTTTTTTTTAAATGGATAAGAAAATATGTGCCACATCATGCCTGCATGTGAAAGGTGCATTATCTCAGCCACTGGGGATCTGTGAAATGCTTTGCTTATTTTAGATTCATAGTCAGAAACAGATTATTTGGGCTCAGCACCTGTGGCCCAGAGGTTAAGGCACTGGCCACATTGACCAGGGATGGCAGGTTTAAACCTGGCCCTGGCCTGCTAAACAACAATGACAACAACAGCAACAGCAACAAAGTAGCTGAGTGTTGTGGCCCGGCACCTGTAGTCCCTGCTACTTGGGAGACTGAGGCAAGAGAATCACTCAAGCCCAAGAGTTTGAGGTTGCTGTGAGCTGTGATGCCACGGCACTCTACCAAGGGCGACATAATGAGACTCTGTCTCAAAACAAAAACAAATTATTTGAAGCGTGACCAAATTACCAAGGTTAAATTTATTTAGAAAATATTCTTGGGGTCATTCTCCTATTCCTTTTCTTCTTATGGTTGATGCAAAATTTAAAGTGTCCAATACTGGTGACTGGTAGGGTAGATCATATTCCCTACCACTTAACACATTGTAAGGAGTAGTAATGTTCCTTAGCAGCAGGATTTGCAAATAAGCAAAAGTTTTGAGCTGTGTCTTTAATTTTTCAGTTTAAACTTCACACAGTGTTGCTCTATTTCCTCTCTGAATGAAGAATTGAATTTGGAGCATCCAAGTCCCAGGTGTTTAAAAAGAACAAAAACATGAACAATCTTGGTGCTTTTAGAGAATTTAAATTTAGAAGTATGGAGGAATGTTCTAGAACAATGCCAGAAAGATGGTACAGATTTCTAATACAGAGTCCAGAAATCAGATGCTGCTGTCTTCCTCTCTGGTGAATACAGAGAATAGGAGGTTAGTTCTTACATGAACTTGACATAAGTTTACATACATGTAACCTGAGGGTGGCGCCTGTGGCTCAAAGGAGTAGGCTGCCAGCCCCATATACCGGAGGTGGCGGGTTCAAACCAGGCTCCAGCCAACAACTGCAAAAATAAATAAATAAAAAAATAAATGAAATGTAACCTGAAAATGCTACTCAGTGGATTCAGCCCTGTGAGTGTCATCGAAGCCGTGGACCTCAGGCTGTTCACTCTTGGTGTTCTCTTACCTGTTTCTGACTCTGCAGAGCAGTTTACCGTGGCGACTGGTGGTCATTAGCGTTAGTGTCATATTCCTCAAACTGAGTAATATGTTCAGATTACAGTAGACACTTGTTTAATAACATTTTTATTACCTGTAGATCGTGATGCAAACAAGAAAATAGACCTTTTCCTGTGAGCTGCAGTGCCTTCATATGATTCCTTAACAAGCTGCTTTTATTATATTCACAGCCTTGTAGAAGAGCCATTTGGCAGTGAATTTATTACTTGTAGATTTGAGTATTAGTAAAATAAAAAGTGTCCACATTTTTAAAAAAAACATTCTCTTCTACTGGCATCTCAGATATGTTCTTGGTAAAAAACCTCGCTAGAAGTAAAAAGAAACATTATAAAAATGCAAACCATGGATCGTGGAATCTACTTTTGTCCTTGCTCCAATTGAGGGGTGTATGTGTGTTTGTGAGCATGTGTTTGGGGGCACCTTTCTTGCTGGTCTTCCAGTTTGCAGTAAGGAATAGATACCCTGGGTTCTAATAAGGAAAGGAAATTTTATCTAGTTAGGAATGGGCTTAGAGCACAGACTGGCCAGGGCAAGAAATGATATTTATCAGATTCCATTTTCACATCTCAAACTGTATCCTGCTTTACTTAAGAAGCCAACCAAGGTCTTGTGCGAAAGAAGTTTAACTGTCAAACCAAACCAAACCAATTGGCATATAGTTTTCTGCCAATCAACAATGAACTTCAGGAATAAACGACCACATTCTGCTTTCCTTATCCTTATATATTTTTATTTTGAATTTATAAAACAAAGGGGACTTAACTTTTGGAAAGAAACTGTGAGCTCTGATACCTGCTATGCTTGAGACCACAGTTACTTGTCAACATTTAATTCAATCATCACAACAATTCTCATAGGTAATGGTATTTGGTGTTGTATTTGCAAGATAATAAATGTTTAAAGAGGTTAAGTAATTTGCTGGTGGTCATATAAGTAGTAAGCAATAAAGTAGTTATTTGAAGTCAAATCATTCCCTGGAGATGTTCTTCTGACATCATTTTACATGATCTACTTACTCTTAAGATAATTTCTGCATCAGGGCAGTGCCTGTGGCTCAGTGGGTAAGGTTCTGGCCCCATATACTGAGGGTGGCAGGTTTGAACCCAGCCCCAGCCAAACTGCACACAAAGATAATTTCTGCATCAAATGTATCCATCTACATGCAGAAATTTCTTCATATCAGAAGGTCTATTTCACAACAAAGATAGCAGCCTGGCCCCTGACAAAAGCAACTTTTTTTTTCAATGATTTTAATGTAGAACATGACACTCACTCCATTCTAGCTCTGCGTGTTGGTTTTATTACCGCATATTCAACTCTTTGACTTTGGCTCTGAGATTGACTCTTTGAGAGAAAACGACCTTACCTTTCTAAATGTTTTTCCCCAATAGGTTGTATTGCTCGTACTGTCAGCTCACCCAACCAGCACCTGTTGAGAACTGATGACGTCATCAGTTGCTGTTTAGATCTAAGCACTCCAAGCATCTCCTTCCGAATTAATGGACAACCTGTTCAAGGAATGTTTGAGAATTTCAACATTGATGGCCTCTTCTTTCCAGTTGTTAGTTTCTCTGCAGGAATAAAGTTAGTATGTCTGTTTTTGGTCTTTCTCCCTTCTCATTTCTCAGACCCCTGACTGCCACCCCCCAGCTTCTCCCCCCCCGCCCCCAGGCTCTGTCCACAGGGCATTTTGCCTTCCCTTAAAGCAAGAGGTGAGATTCACCCCAGAGAAGAAAAGTATTTTCATTAATTTTCCTTCTTTAAAAAATACAGTTTCCCACCTTTCTCCAGAAACTGAATTTTTATTTTTTTGTGGATGAGATCCAGATGTCTCCTTTCTGTGTTCCTCTGCCTGTTACACTTGGAAATTCTCTGCCTGTGGTTAACTGAGCCATGATGGTGTCTTTTAAATCTTTCCTTTTTTGATATTAATGGAAGAGGACAGAAATTAAAATTATAATTCATATTACCAGGTTGAATTAAAAATTAATGTTTAAGTAATGTACTTTGGTCAAAATTAAATCCAGTTTATGTGAGAATTAGTCACTATTTTCTTTTCTTTTTTTTTATTCTTTTCCTTTCCCTGACAATAGTTGTTTATTTTTTGAGACTTTGGAAAAAAAATAAGTTAACTGATGACTCTATACTGAACCTCAGAGTCAAAGCATTCTATAATAGACATACTCTTATTTGACAATGTGAATTCTACTTTCTTTGCATTATTATTATTGCTTAATATTTCAATGCAGCAATCTGATTTCTTTTCTGAATGCATTTATTTTCATTCATTTTTTACGAAGTTTTTGTTTCTAGTCCTTATCTTAAACATTGTTATTTTTATGAAGTTTTAAGCCTTTTTAATTTTGTGAAGGCAAAAATGGAAACCTAATAAACACATGTATATGTAAAAAATTATAATTCAGGGCGGCACCTGTGGCTCAAAGGAATAGGGCACTGGCCCCATACACCAGTGGTGGTGGGTTCAAACCCAGCCTCAGCCAAAAACTGAAAAAAAAATTACAATTCATTGGAGTTTTACAAAGAAAACTTTAATAATGCTGGTCTGTTATAATAAGGAGCCATTCTGTCATCTAAGTATATATAGACGACATCTAAATATATATACATATGTTTAAAAAATATTTTCTATATGTCCGCTACCTCTCTGTAAAATTTAGTAATGAACACTTTGTAAATAAAGGCATACTTAGCTAATATCCCATTTCCCTGTGTATGGTGACTTTAGGGACGACTTTGGGACACCATGTATATTTTTGCCTAATGAGGGTGACTTCTTAATTTCTACTGGTCATTCACTTATTCTGGTTTATCTTTTAGTCAAAATTCTCCTCCCAGGAATAATTCCTAGTTCCAGAAGCACCACAATGATACAGGGACAGAGTAATCATGAAATGTTAACTATTCACGTACAAATTACCTTTTCTGATAGATTTATACAAATTGTGTTTCTGTAGATCTCTGGATTTTTTTTTTTTTTTTGGCCAGGGCTGGGTTTGAACCCGCCACCTCTGGCACATGGGGCTGGCGCTGTACCCTTTTGAGCTATAGGCTCTGCCCAAGCTCAGGATTGTTTTAGGGTATTTGTTTTTCTTCACATTATGTGCTTTTTATTTTATTTTAATTGGCTGGTGAGTCAAACAAAAATTAGAAAAAGAATTAGACATAAAATGAAAAATTTGAATTTATTTTTGTGACCTAAGAGCCCCCAAGAAATTGATATCATTTAACTGTTTAAAAAAAAAAAGTTGTTCATGTCCATCTCTGGAATTCAGATTATTTTTAATTAAATGTGTATGGTATATAAAATATTTGAGTAAGTTCTTTTTTGTTGTTAAAATAGATAAACAATAAGAAATAAGGGGAAAAAAAGATGATTATCTGCCTTCTTCAGCAAGTGGAAGTGACATCTGAATCCCCTTGAAGGAGTTTCATTAGGAAATTAGGCACCAGATAGTGACTATTTTTTTCTCATACCTAGTTCAGCCCTATAATAGTAAGCTTATAGATGTTAAGATCATGTCTTCTCTTTTATCTGATGACCTGGGCACCTTGGGACACTTAGTGACCACTTATTATGGGCCCATACTTCACTCTCATTGTAATATGCTACAGGTGCACCAGTCATTTCCCCAGCGACTAATTAAGTCTTCTCTGAGACTGAAGATCTAATCAGGTTTCTCTTTTGATCAATATGACACCCTCCTGTATTGGCTGTTAGAATCAGAGCCTCTGAGATTCTAAAGCGATGATGACATTGTGATGGTATTTAGTGAAAATGTGTGGCTTCTGATAAAGTTAATTTTGTACAAATCATTTTTATACAAAAATGTTTTGTTGATTAGAAAACCTTAACGTTGTAGGGTGCGCTTTCTGCTTGGGGGACGTCATGGAGAGTTCAAATTCCTTCCTCCACCTGGGTACGCACCTTGTTACGAAGCTGTCCTGCCAAAAGAGAAATTGAAAGTGGAACACAGTCGAGAGTACAAGCAAGAGAGGAGTTACACCCGGGACCTGCTGGGCCCCACGGTTTCCCTGACACAAGCTGCCTTCACGCCGATCCCTGTGGACACCACCCAGGTATCGAGATCAACTGTAATGGTGACCGTTCTGCTAATCAGTGGCTTTTATGCTTGGACTGCAACTCACAGGAATGCACTTTGTAGTAATATAGTTGACATACACGACTGAAACAAAACTCGTAAAATAATGCTCACCCTACCATGTCCACTTACTTTCTATTCTATTCTATATATTTTTTTTTTGGCTGGGGCTGGGTTAGAATCCGCCACTTCCGGCATATGGGGCCGGTACCCTACTCCTTTGAGCCACAGGTGCCGCCCCTAGTCTATCTATTTTTTAATAGTCATCCCAACCTAAGAAATTGATTTCATGATGCACTAATAGGTCACAACCTGAAGTTTTAAAACTTTTCAGGTTGTCCTTAGGTTTGACTAGAATAGTTAATATCGGAGCTAGGCATGGCCAGCACCTGTAATCCCAGCTCCTCGGGAGACTGAAGCAGAAGGATCACTTGAGCCCAAGAGTTTAAGACTAGCCTGAGCAACATACCTACACCCCATTTCTCAAAACATGAAAATGCAAAAATTAGCTGGGCCTAGTGGCACATGTCTGTAGTTCCAACTTGGGAGGCTTTGGCAGGAGGATCACTTGAGCCCAGGAGTTCAAAGCTGCGTGAGCTATTACGGCACCAATGCACTCTAGCCTGGGTAACAGAAGGAGATCCCATCACTTAAAAAAATAGTTAATATATGTATTTTATAAAGTGCATATTATACTTTCTAAAAAATAATAGTCACAACAGGTAGAATTTGGTGACAGAATTATACACATAATTTTAAGGTGATAATCTTAAGTTGATTTAATATCCAAGGTTCATGTAATATCATCTGGATGGAATGTTTACTAATCTTAGAATGTATATTTTTATGTAGAGTAAACATAGAGCTTTTAGTTTCTTCTATCTAGATGAATATATTCTCTGGAAGTTAATTAACTTTTATCTTACATAGAGATTGAGATCACGAACTGTAGTCCAAATGCCAAGGATCAAATGCCTACTCTGGGACCTTCTGGAAGTTATTCACCTTGTCAGTTAAGATGATAAGAATATTTTTTGGTATAGTTTTT